AACACTGTTGCATGCAGTACGAGGCCACACATCTACCAAAGCCGACACGCTACGAACCACGATGTGAAACAGTTTCGTCTTACTGTTCACAGGCAAAGTCGACAACACCGATATGTACGTGGGAATCATATAAAAAGGGAGACGGCTCTTCAGCTTAGACTTGATAGTTTTCTTCACCAACCCAGCATCAGCTGAGGGGTTCTTACGGACCTGACACCAACTGTGGGGAGAAAATACGCACATGGTCAACCACATATGTAGGTGACAATATGGAAATTCTGATGAAATTTCGGGAAATTCTTGTTGGTTTCCGTACATTTCTACTCTAGTTCGTATGTGAACTCCTAGGGTCAGCTGAGAAAAGCGAACACATATAACAACACAGCAGGATGCAGCGGACGAAGACCCCAAGGGGCAAAGCACTCACCACATAAGCAACAAGTTTCCGATCGTCGTTATGCATTGCTGTTGTTACGATACACTCGTGAATGATATCACCACAGAGCTCATACATGGCGACTTGTACCTACGTCAACGTGGGAAATAATGAACACTATTCACTACGTGCATTAAGGAAAATATAAAAACTTTGGAAAATTTTGCCGAAACTATTTTTATCCATACGAACTCCGGTGGAAACCAACAAGATTTCACCCAAATTTCCTCAAAATTTTCATATTATCACCAACACCCGAGGTTGACCATGTGCATATTTCCGCGCTGTAGCGTCGTACGAAAATCAAGTCGATAAGTAACTCCTACAGGGATGGGTGGACTTACCGCCTTGAGCTCAATGGAGTATCCACGAATCTTGACCATGGAATCACATCTACCAGATATCTCCAGCATACCTCCTTCCACCACATAGCCGACATCGCCGGTCTTATACCTGAAATCACAACCATACACACATGCTCAACTACTACGTGTGATGACGACAACATGGAAATGCAGATGGAAATTTCATAAAATCCTTTGCTTCCTGGACAATCCTACCAAAACCCGTATGTAACCTTTTTGTAGCTGATGAAAGAATTCCCGCGCTAAGCTTGTAGCGACGAACATATTCTCAACAACGAGATCTACTGCTATTCCATCGTGACCATGTGTTGGAAAATATGTAAACGGTCGATAACAGGTGTTAGTCGCAATATAAAAATTTCGAGGAATTTTGGGAAATTCTTGTTGGTTTTTGTACACTTCCTCCTGTATTCGCATATGAACTTGCATATAAGTGAGGAATTTTCTGAGCACAGCTGGAGAAAGCGATCAAATTTTTCACAAGCTGAACTCACATTCGTTTGCCATTCCTCGTGATAAACTTAGCTGCAGTCAACTCAGGCCGATTGAGATAGCCAATTGCCAGAGTAGGGCCTTCCACGTATATCTCTCCAGCTACACCAAGGGGCACCGGCTCTAGTGATTCCGGATCAAGAATGTTCACCTGTAAATGGTCATTGTTGATAATATTTATTATTGTACACTATACCATAATACTATTATAATATCAACAATAAAACTACAAGGTGGTACTTCAAAATATTTTCGCTTTCCTCAGCAGAGCTCAATGGCCTCCTTACTGATCACAGGAGTTCATATACAAATAGAAAGAATATACATAAAAATTTTCCAAAACTTTCTCAGAGTTTTGATATTGTCACCAACGCATGTCGTTGACCCTGTGTGAATTCTACCATACTGCCTTATGGCAAAATGCAAAATCCTAAATTGCTGATTACCTTCACTTGCGGTAGCAAGTTCCCAACTGGACAAAACTTCCTATTCGATGGCTCCAGCTGAAGGTCATCAACAGTAAGATCTGACCCAGCCACGTCATGACATTCGGAAACGGAGTACCTTCAGAAAAGATATCCCACGTAGAACACATCGAATTTACCTACAAGTTGTGGATTCTCGTCTTGGGGAGATGTTTGCGTATTTTCTGACGCAACTGCGTAGACGCCACCTCACCACAAAGAATCTAAAAACAAATACCAAATTGTGGAAGTAGTAAAATCCCTGCCGGCCTACCACAAGTTTCAGCCCAGTCATGTCGGCGACCCCGGGGGAGTCCAACATCGCCTCCAACAGCGAGGGGGTGAACAGCATCCTACTGATGTTGTTCTCCTTAATCTGATAGGAGACTTCGCTAGTGACACTAAATAGATGGTGCCTTACATATTGAGGTAGAATAGCAGAGTCGTAAATGACAGCGTCGGGAACCACATAAAGAGTTGCCCCCTTCAGCAGAGGACGGAGGAGCTCCCACACGAAGAATACATTACCTGCAAGCCCGAAAACCAACATTAGGCGATATGAAGCTAGAGGCGGAACCTATTACATGCCTCCCGCTCATCCTTCCCATAGGGATACGCTCCAAAGCGGTAATCATAGCTCACTACCGCACCTCTGTGAGGACAGACGATTCCCTTAGGCTTCCCTGTGGTACCTACAACACCATCATAGGTCACCCAAGAGCACCCCCTTCCACTTTCTTACCACTGGAGTAAACACAATACGCCGGGTCGGTCTCCTTCACGCCCAAGTCTTGTGGCTTTTTACCATCACTCAGCTCCTGGCGCCAGATGGAACTCTCATCGTCGAAAATAAATTTCTTTTGTGATTTCGGGAGTTTCTCAGCCAGAGCCTTCGTGGTACCTAAAATGCCCCAGTGTTAGGTTTGAGATATGAAGCCCCTCAGGGTTTGACAACAAAGGGAAAAATGTTCCTAATGTGATGACATTTACATAGGAAAGCTGATCGGAGAATGTGTGGAAAATTCAAAGTGAGTTCCCCCCGCGAAAACATTATAGATTTTTGGAAGACTTTCTGGTTGCAACTCACAGACACAACAGGGCTTCGCATCGTCCATGACCATCTGTAGTAAATCGTCGGGATAGTTTGCATCGATGGGCATGTACCTGACACCAACTGTGGTGAAATAGTCACATAGGCAACCACATATGTTGGTGACAATATGAAAATTCTGAGGAAATTTTGCGAAATTCTTGTTGGTTTCCGTACATTTCTACCCTAGTTCGTATATGAACTCCCAGGGTCAGCTGAGAAAAGCGAACGCTGCCTTGAACGTAACTGACGGTAGTTCCCCACGATAAGCTTACGCCCCTCCAGCCTTGAGAGCAGCGATGTAGCTGACGACATAGCCAACGTCCTTAGGCATGTATATGCCTACTAGGGATCCTATACCGGCACCATACTCTAACTGAAGACGCGCCGCCAGGGAGTCACTAAGGGAATCGAGCTCAGCATAGGTGAGAGAGGTACGAGGTGAAGCACCTGCAGGGAAGGGGTCACGAGCATCTATGTTGTTATTAGTACCTCTACTGCCACCGCCAACCACGGCAATGTGATCAGGTGTTTTAGCAGCTTGCTCTCTAAAAAGGGTGTGGAGGACGACGTGAGGAGATGATGATGACGTCATTGGAAATAGCGAAATACGAGGGGTATTAAGAAAGGGGCCTGACAGAGACTAGCACCGCTCCAAGGGGTGGTACGGCAAAATAACGAGGAGACGAATTTCGTGGCGCGTGACGTTTCCCAAAGCGCAGTTTGGTTGTCCAAGTATGTACTCTTCCATCGGCCGAAATTTCAGTGTTGGCAGTCGGTCAACGGAGGGTTCAGCTTGTCTATTCCAGTGCGGGAAAATATGCACATGGTAAACTGCATGTGTAGGTGGAGATATGGAAATTGGTTTCTGTACAATTTTACCTGAACCCTTATACGGACTCCTAATATTGGTGAGGAAACTCCTGAGCTCAGCTGAGGAAACCGAACATATATTTCAACACTGTCGTATTCACTCTCAGTGATATGAGAACCTTACTATTGTTTACAATCGAGTATCAGAGACTCCCTATTATGATAGGGAGCTACAAACGCGATGATAATAAGTGATGTAGAGCTGGTAGTTTACTCCGTCAGCCGAGCGTGACTGAGCTTGGCTTCAGGCAGGCCGCGACTTCGCCAAGTGCATGCCCTATATTGTTTCCAGGTGCTCATACCACCCTTACTGGGAGTATTCAGTTTTTTTGAGAAATTTAGCGAAATCTCATTTGAAGGCCTGTTGTTTTTGATCTCCCTGAGACGGCGGTTGTAGGTTCATTAGATATTCAGTTCCGCTGCCATCATATTGTGGCTATTATGCTCCTCAATACAAGGGTACTGTCATTGACACTAGAATGGCGCGATACTGATCTCACCAAGAGGTTGGTGTATTCGACCATGCGGACTTGCATACAACCTACATATTTCTGTCCAATGCATATAAGTGCAGTTGTGTTTCCATATGGTCATTGGATTCGATAGTGAGAGTGTCGAGAGATGATTGGAAAATTTGAAAAAAATTAACGCCATTTACACGACGCAATGGTCTTCGCAAGAACTTCCTAATTTCAACAGCAGGCGATGGAGCTCTCCCCCAGCCTAGGTCGACTTTGGGGGTACAAAGACAGTATCAGGGCATTCGAACTCGCAGGGTTCGACTTCGCATCTTCAATGGCTGATTGCACCAGTAGAAGTACGGCTGAAAAGGTTTGCATCATCGGTGGTGGCGTATCGGGTCTCGTCACATTGAGGACTCTCCTCGCAGAAGGGTTTGATGTCACTTTGTACGGTATAGTGTCGCGGTCGTCCTCGGTCGAGTTTCTCTCTATTGCAGGCTTGAAGCACGGAGTAGGGTCGGTGGGGTCTGGGCTACGGGTTACGTCGGTCAAGGGGTAAGCATCTGAGAAATGGTGTGTCAATTCCTGCCAGGCTCAGTCGCCCAGTTGGTTTTATGAGTTCAGCGAGTTCCCAGTGGGAGAGCGTTATCCCCTTTTTATGAAAAAAGAGGAGCTCTGTAGTTACATCGATGATTATGTAAACTCCTCGAGAAGAAGTGCAGGCGAATACCTATTATTCAATCTTGTCAGGTATCGCACTTTGAGCTTTCCTCGTATATCCACTGCAATGTCGTCGTGACAGATCTCCACAATGTCAACGACAAGGCGTGGCGAGTGACCACCCAGGATGGTCAGCAAGGAATCTTCGATAAGGTTGTCATTTGTAAGTGTGCCCTTTAGTCTCACTGAGTGTTGCGGTATTCGTCCCGTAGGCACTGGACTCTTCAGAAAGAAGAAAATACCGAAATTTCCCGGTATGGACCGGAGTAGAGTTAAAGTCTTCCACACTTCTGAGTGTGAGTATTCTCATTTGTAGTTACCAACATCACTTTTCTCGTTAGGCGACGACCGCAGTGCCTTTACTGCTAAAGATGTGGTTTTTGTTGGTTACGGCAAGTCCACGTTAGATCTGATGAACGAACTTAAAGATGACGTGAAAAGCAGTAGGAAAGTTTGTTGAACTTATAAACAGTCATCGACTTGTCGTTTCGACACCTCGTAGTAGCCCCCCTGCATATTAATTTTAGCTACGTTCGTGTATCGAGAGCGACGTTGGCCTCTTCCTGGCAACTTATGGAAGATCTCCATCATCCATGTAAGAGTACAACTACACCCTTTCTCGTGAGTAGTTGCCTTAGGTCATGTTCTGCCGGGCTTTCGAGTGGCTACTCCCTCCTTATTACACTGAGGAGGGGCCTCGGTCATGGCTTTATAGGATGTTCACAACTGCTTGGTGGTGGCTATGGGAGCACATACTAGACTGGCAACATGGACTGAGTAAGGCGTCGCTGTTGGGCCGATCTAACTTTGAGAAATAACGGTTCGACAGCAATGGGGAAAATGTTCCTAACTGCTTCTTGAATGTTTTCCCAGCGACGTAGAACACCGGGTTTCGGACGACTCTCTGTGTTACTCAAAGAACTTTCAGGTGCTGCGTCTATGAGGCCGAGCTCGCCTTTTGTAGAGGACATTTTCCACAACCAATTCGTAGGTAGACACTTGTGCGATTTGGAGCTGTGATGAATATCAGGTTGTCCCAGAAGGAACGTATGAGCGTATTGCAACAGGAGAAATCCGTAAGAGTATCCACGTTTTTCGATATGCTCTCGATGAGGCTATTGGGGATTGTAGTTCCCTGGCTGTATTGTTAGGTGCGAAGCAGGCCACTATCGAGGAGTTCACCAAAGAGGGCATCCTGCTCAGCACTGGGGAGCAAATTGCATGCGATGCAGTCGTACTCGGTAGGCCAGTCTTGCAGTACGCCAATTTCGGCCACTGAGACTATGCGTTATACAGGCACCGGCTTTGAGGCGGCAATGGAGATCTTGCCTGTGGAATGCAGGAATAGTTTAATCTGTGATAACGGCGAAGGTCCATGGCTGTATCGTCATATTGTAAGTACCCTAGCAGCGAAATGGTGTACTCTATCGTATGCTAGGTCCACCCAGAGTATATGCATCTAGGCTTCGTCGGCTGGGCTTCTACTAACATCAGTATTAGTAAGTAGAGGCGCGGCACGGCATGTTGATCGCCTATATAGTGTTCCCCAGTCGACGTATTATTCGAGCATGCAGGTACTTCTACTCTGCAAGCCCTTTGGCTAGCTGGATTCTGGAAGGGTAGAATCTCCCCGTCAATGCAAGGTGAGCAGTCGTTATCTATGCGAATGATGTGAATGCAGCGGCAGAGCGGACCTGTGCAGATATGAAGTGCGACATTGCGAAGTACCGTAAGTGGGCGCTCGAGCATATCCCTCCAACACCGCAGCGGCCCTGCACTACGTTCCTCTACATAGATCTATATCACGATCAACTAGTGATGCATACGACTTATCTACAGCTAGCTGACAACTCCTTGTGTCAGGTCGAGGACTTGGGAGTCAGCAAGTACCTCCACGGTGGTATTTTTGATGACTTTATACTCTATTACCCGGCTACGTACCGCCCCTTGGTGAGCTTGTTGGGAAATAAGCGTCTCAGCTGTGTTTTTTTTAAAGGTTCATCAGCTCTCTCTCGATCGGTAGAGTGAGGAGTACAAGTATTTCTATGAGATGTGTTGTTAGTAACAGCACACCTTAGTAACAGTAACAGTCTGCTACCCTCTATCTATCTCAACTTTATAATGTCTTCGACTTTGTAACTACATCACGTCTATCGATCATGCTTCTCTGATCTGCTTCCTCTTTCACTGTCTGATTGTGTTGAGATGTCAATACGGTTCGAGTACGACCGAGTGGGTTTCATAGTGGCATAGGAGGCAACCTCGGCTGAGGTGCTTGTCGTTGTCTTTAGAAGTATATGTGATAACTCGTACACGATCAGCAAGATGACGATCTATATATTCTGTGGAAGCTCGCATTTCTTCAATGTTGCTGAATTGCACTACTAAGCGTTGCCCCACCGTCCAACACAACGTCATCAGTATCTTTGACTCTCTCGGTGCTGACTTGGACCAATCGGTGAGCAGTTAGTTTGCATACGTAGTCGCTTGAAGACCTTCTGAACGCATCCTTCGGAAGGATTATGACACATGTTGGTGGCAATATGAAAATTCTGGCAGAATTTTGAAAAATTCTCATCGCTTTCTTTACACTTCTACCCGGATTTATATCTTACTTCTACGATTAGTTGATCTCAGCTGAGGGAAGCGGACATATATTCCAACAATAGCTCAAGAAATGTTCATAGGTTGTTGCAGAGGAGAACTCCTCGAGAACTTCTGTGAATGATCGTGGATTCAATTTGGATGGTTTAACCACAAAGCAACACATGACAATTGGACGAAGCAACCCCGTCATTCGACGCGCCGTAAGCGTATGAGTTCTATCACTCCACCATGGACCGGAAAGTCTTCTAGTCCTATCTCAGGTAGCTAGATGGAAAAAGAAGGTTCAACAACAAAGTCAACTATGTGCTGAACCCATACAAGAAGCCTCGTGCGACGTGTCGTAACTGTGTTAACAGCATATTCCAAGAAAAGCCACAATTGGTCGTGTGACATCTCAAGGACTTTTAATTCCACCTGTTGAGTATTTTCTACCCCTGTCTGTGCTGGTGATTGAATCACCTCCGTTATAGACCAACATATTTCTCGATCTGTGCTCTTGCTCAGTTTTGACTTCCCTTCTTAGTTGTTTTGTATTCTCTACATGCTGCAGAGTGATCCCCCAGCTGGAAGCCCTCGGGTGAGTTTATTTATCATGATTCGACTGTAGAATTCATAGGGGAGCTCTGATATAAGAAAACCAAGGAGAGGAGGGATTTTTTATCAATTCTTTTCAGACAGATGACGTGATCATCCCGTCTGAGGTCAAAGCTTCTGAACAAACAGCTTTGCTTCTGTTGAAGGTGACGACGCTGGTCTGTTGTTTTTAGGCAGTAGAATATATGTCCGCTTTTCTCAGCTGAGCTCAAGAGTCTCCTCACTAATTATCAAAGTTTACATATCAGTTCTGAAAAAATGAAAAAAATCAATAATTTTCTCACAATTTTCATATTGTCACCAACAATGTGCTCATTTTCCCATGCTGTTTTCAGGAGTTGTTGGTGGACACCATTGCGCAATATCCTCTTCACGAGAGTATGCCTGATGTGTTTGGACTCATGCGACTGCTCATGTTCCTAAGAGTAGCTAAAAATGATGCTCACATGGCAGCGAAGCGATTCAAGTATCACTGGATGGACTTTCCAGCCGCCCTGAAAGTCTTCGTCTCCTCAGAGAATTCCTTGCTTGGCGGCAGATGAGGAAAGTAGATGAAATCAGGAAGAATATCCTGGAGAAAAAGTTGACTTTCGATGACATTCCGCACATCGACAAGGTCGCTCTTTGGGAATCCGCTCGCGAACCTTCTCACATCTGCAGTGTTGATCATTCATACGAGAGTTCAGTCCACCGTATTAGGTCACTTATTATCTCCCTTTTAATCCGTGCCTACGAGATGCTGTTGGTGAACCCTTGCGTGCTAAGGACGGATCCTTCATTTACTGTGAAAGGCTGGGGATGATCGAGACCAACGGTTTCATCTCCGAAGTAGGTGGTTGTGACAAACTCTGCCTTTCAGATGCTGGTGTTCTCACAGGTCAGTGATGATGAATTCATGGAAATGTTCATTTATCTCAGCGAGCTCGGGCAGCTCCTCATCCACGACGTTTACGAGCGTCGGTGATGAGCCTTTAACTACGTTATGGACTTCTGCAGCAGGCACGAAGGAGTTGTCTTCCTTCATTCTCGTCATAGACGTTGGTGGAGCACCTGCGGCCTCCTGGGCTAACCCGAAGCTCTGCAAAGCTGTTGTGAATAGGATGGGGTCCGCGGGGAAGTTGCGGGAGAGCTACTACCCTGGTCAGGTGGTCCTCGGCATCTCCATTGCAGTGCGCGAGATTTCCGTCAGGTCAGTAAAGTGTGCTTCCTGAATGCCCCATGGATATTCGATACATTCTTCAAGTTGCTGAGGTCCTTCCTATCTAAAGCCAGTCTATCAAAGGTGATGACCACTCGGCAGTGCTACCGAAGGACTTATGTATCCTCGAAAGGCTACCTACAGTTGAGTGCTGAGCACCTGTTTGCAGGTGACTATATGTCGTCCCGGAGACCAGCATATCATGTCATTGGTTGACCCGATGAATATCCCTGCGTTCTTAGGGGGTTCTTGTGAGAGTCCACTGGGCCAGGTACCGGAGACTGGTCGCCTGCTTAACGACAGATTCGGCTTGGGAACAGGAGGAGCAGTGGAGGTGGCCTTGTTCATATCCTGCCGAGCACATGCTACGGTCATTTCAGACTGTAACTATCGCCAAGGGTGAGAGCCTCCGGATCCCCCTGACCGCTGTCAAGGAGGGCGACGTCGTCTCCTGGGCGGTCGGCGTTGAGGCCCAGGAGATACTCTTCGGGGTAGAGATACAAACACATAAAGATGGCGAGATGACTTCCGAGTAAGCTCAACAGAGTTCGCAGGTGTTATCAGCCTACAACACAGATTCGCCGTCCCGTTGGAGAAGTGCAGCAGGCAGAAGAGTGTTAGAGGGCAGTATACTAGTCCGGCTGATGGGCGAGTGAGTTGTGGCGCCAAACACCACTACATTTTATTATTCAGCTTGTGTTCGTATTCGACAATACCGCCTCTTGGCTGCGCTCGAGGACGGTGCATTACCGGTGTGTGGGCCTACCTACTGAGTGCACCCAGGATCTGTTGGAGTAGGTACGAGATTGTTTCATCACAAGAGGCAGCCAAACTTGGTGCGGAGGTGGCATCTCTGGAGACTCCATAGCGCATTTGACTATAGCACTGATATCATGGCAATCTGTTGTGTCCCAATTCTGGAGGGTTTACCTGTGCAACGTTTGTAGTTCACACTGAAGAGGTTATGACTGCATTACGTCGCGTCTGACCAGCGAAAGCCACGGGTCATTAGCTGAGTACTCGACGATTAACAGTGAATGGATGACAGCGACACTGAGTGGGATCCACGGATGTTCGACAAGTTGTGGTACTCAGGAATAGGTCTACTGGCCCAGCAAATGGCTGAGGCTTCAGCCACATACATCGATAGCAGCTGTGTTGCAGTGAGCCTTTCCCTGCCTGCTTGTGGGAGCAGCAAGTGTTCTGAATCGCTCGTCACCTTCTGCTACCGCCGCCAGGCCTGACTGCTCGGACGACTATAATATATGACAGCTGCGTTTTCCCCACAGTTTTTATACTAATTAGTAGTGTTTGCCTATTCATACCTATTGGTGTTGTAAATGTAAATTCGAGGCTGGTGACATTGGCCCTACTTGAGCAGTATTGTCCGCAGCTTCTTCGTCAGCCCTTAGTTGCTGCGACAATGACGACCCACGTAGTAGCGTCTGACGAAGCCTCCAAACTGCCAGACCTCAGCGAGCCTCACACTTGGCGGCTCTCAATTGAGCTCAAGTCGCTGACACTCTCTGCACAAGCGGCCATGGCCTTCGCCAGATATCACTTGCCGTCACCACTGGCAAGCCTTTTCAACCCGAGCTTGTGCGTGTTTACCACTCATCCCGCGGTTACGTGTCGGAGGAATACGAACACGCATTTGCCCAATGCGTTTCGAGCGTATACGCTACCAGCCCTCAGTGCTGGCAGTTTGAAGGAAGGCATGCTGCAGGGAGTGGTCCTGAATATCGAGATATGTCACAAGGACAAGTTCAGGAGTGACGAGGTCATCGCCACAACGAGCGTCCATCTTGAAGAGGTAAGCTGCCGGGCGGATGGAGGTTGGATGCTTCGTTACTGTGATTAAGGTACTCGACGCGCCTCTGAGTGATGACAGTGGTTGCCGATGCCTCTCGATGGATCTGCCACTGGTCGCCAGTCCCAACAATCAGTCGGTGACGGGCCCTACCAGGCAGTGCGGCAGGATACAGGCGGTCATCTACCTTGAAGACCTGGGTGGAGAGAAAGCTCCTCGTGTTCAACCCTATGCTACTGCTATGGACAATAGTGAGCTTCTCTGGTCACCCCTGTGATGGTGGCGGTTTGTCAGTTACTGACCTTTCGATGATCGAACCCTTCGAGACTAGTCGGCACCAGCAGCAGCAGCATCACTCGACGCTCTCTACTGATTCAACGGGGAATCTCCGACCGGAATATATCTGTGCTGTTGAATTAGAAACTTGGAAGAAAAATGAGGAAGCAAAGTTCCGAGTGTGGCTCAAGGATCAGGAGGCGGCTCGCATGAAAACTCTAAATGCGGAGTAGTAGTAGTAGTAGTAGTAGTAGTAGTAGTAGTAGTAGTAGTAGTAGTAGTAGTAGTAGTATTAGTAGCAGTAGTAGTAGTAGTAGTAGTAGTAGTAGTACCTCTTCCTTCGAATGACCTCTCATGCGATGATAGATATACAGCGAAAGAGGCGACCCGGCAACGCGAATTTGCCGATAAGATGAAGTCTTTGGCTACGTTGGAGGCAAAATTAAAGAAGAAGGCTACCGAGTTGGAGCAGCGGGAGGTGAAGTTCCCTGCTTGTCCCCTCAGACTGATGCCGCAAATCTCGGGTGCCATCAGGTCCGCATTCTGGCGGCTGAAGAAGGTGTTGCGAAAGAGAAGGAGGGGGTGGCCACGACATTACGACGTCGTGATGAGGAACATGCATGTACCGACGGCAAGCATCGACTCGAATCTTGAAAACCCTTCGGTACTCTTTAACGTCCGCTTTCCACGTGAGGTCATCTTATTGCGATACGATCATAATGAGCGCTGAATATAGAGTAGTTTGTATTATCCTTTCACTGATGGCTGAGTGCTTAGCGAATATATAAGTTTGTCACATCTGAGAGGGGTTTTGTCGAGTAGTCGCCGTTAATGTCTTAGTTGCACAGAAACGGCTGGTGACGGATCACGAGCACGCGTTGCGGCTGCAAGCGGAGAAGACGAAGATTGCGAGTAAGCGGGCGTTCGAGGCAGAAGAGCGTGTCAAGGAGCTCCAGTTGAAGGTTAAAGAGGCAGAAGAGAGTGCCAACAAGGTAGCGTGATGGGTCTGCATAGGTATGGCCTCTCACTGATCTTACAGGCACATGCCACCTTGCAGTCATCTAACATGGTGCAACTCCAAGCTGATGTGAAAGTCCTGAAGCATCAGTTGGAGCAAGCTGCGCATCGCGAGCTTCTCCTGGCCAAGTCACGCGACCACTTCAGAGCAGCAGTGCGGCAACTCTGCAAGCAGCTAGACAAACAGAATATTGAGGTTAGTCTGCTGGTCTCGAATCAATGTAGACAATGAGTGCTCGATGCGCAATCAAAGTCGAGCCCGACTGAAATCAGATTGACACCATCCACTAGTACGGAGATCGAATGGTTGAGTAGCGTATATAAGGTTAGAATAGACAGTCAACACACGAGCAATATTCGTTCTCATATCAGTGGTAGCAAGGAGTACTGGCCTTCACAGGTCGAGGATGTATCGGGCTCCGATTCGGAGTCCGACGGCGAGAGTCCGTCTCCAGCAGACGAATCAGAGCGGATACGGCGACTTGAAGCTCAAAAGCGAAGCCTGTTAGATACCGGCGTTTATGAAGCAAAGGATGCTACCATTCAAGCGCTGAATGATCAAATTGCACGAGCCAGAGACTGGCGCACTTAGTGTTCCATGATCAACACTGAGGGTTTCACTCGGGTTCAAAGTCGTACTTTGTGTTAATGTGGCGAGGAAGAATATACGGGAACCACACGTGCAACTCCATCGTGAGAGAATATAGGAGTTCAATGAATATTGGCTAAATGAATATTTACTAGCAACGATCAAATTTGTCTGTCGTAACAACTACTTGATTGACTAAAACATGTCATGAGTTTACCAGGAAACTCTACCTATCATGTTAGCTGATCCGAAGCCGTGAAATCTGTGGGACCGCGGTATTCATTTTTCGTAGTCCGTGTAGAGCTTACTCTCGGACAAATTGTCTGGATAAAAATTTCAATGATGAGATCATCGAGGGACCGATCCCGGCTCATGCAAGTTCGTTGTCGAAAGCCGCAACTTTTTGAATGTAGGATAAATCCGATCAATTGACTTGTCTGATTCTGCTACTTTCAAAATCCTTGCGTTTCCCACAGATTTCCACATGCACAAACTCTGACTCAACCAAAGGCGTGGGCAATGAACCAATCTTTAACCGTGCATCATCATTTGAATTGACTATAAGATCTTAATGAGCTTCAGCGGCCTACTTCTTGCCAATCTAACACGAACTCGTGCCAAATGCTCAGGTGAGACAACAACACGTACGACAGCCTTCGCGCGGTCCACCTTCTCTCCAACCATCGGGCCTACTTCCTCCACGAGCTTCGAGTGTGCCTCTCGAATACGCTCAACCTGCAGGAAACTAGTGAATAGCGATTCCCTTATAATAACATGATACCTGGAGCTTCTTGACAAACAGAATGGCTTCCTTGACCGTCATATCCTTTATTTGATCATAGACTTCAGCAATGAGAGGATCGTGCTCCGAGGAATTCGCAACCTACAGAAGATGTGTCGCAGCGTTTCGAACGAGTTGCCCAACAATATCAATCCGCGATCGAATGAGCGGGTCTTACCATTGGGGCAAGAAAATATGCTGACAGAGAAGGCAACGAAAGAAGACCACCCAAACACGAACTAAACAGTAAAGAGGAAAATGTCAAAATCAGTCAGTCATCGTACTCGCTGCACCCTAAAACTGGCTGCAAAAAATTGCTCAATTCTGAATTATATTTCAACAAATACAACTCTTCACGAGGCAACATCAGATTAATCTCCGATGGACCCAATGGTGAACTCGAGCAGAAAATTATCGTCTGTGTCTGTGCTACAACAGAGCTCGAATGTCTTAGCACTCGTCCACAGTGAGAAGTCATCAGACTCCTCAACTGAGGCAAATCTAGCTGCGTCAATCAGCCGAGCGGCAACCCGCCCAACGGCGGCTTCCTCACTTGACTTGTCTCCGCCCCATCTTGATGCTTCCACCTAACATCATAAGGAATAAGTCTGAACTTATATGTGCAAACGTTAGATAGAGACCAGAACTGTGCGCGTGAGCTAGAGGCCTCTGCCTGGCATCAGCCACTTCACATTAAATCATAGGCTAGCAACAATTACAGGAGTCACTCCGCGTTGTTCATCGTCCCAACATTCGCCTGCCTCACTTCGGATACCGATCGAAGGCGACTCCCCAGCCTTACACATCCCACGAAGTCCGAGTGGCTAAGACCAAATCGCCGTATCCACGGAGCTCTGCCCACGAAGTGAGTCCATTCACACTGGTGATGGCAACATGAAGTGGCCACAAGCGATGCACAGCGTTCCTCGGTGCATCCTTGCGATCGAGACAAGCCTGGGAAGAAGGAGAACAAGTAACGCCATAATTGAGCAACACTAATATCGGTATGACATTGACTACTACGGAGTTTCATCCGTGATATGAAAAACGCTAGTGAAAAATATATTTCACGAATACTGACTAGCGCGAGTACCGTCACTTCTCGTAAAACGGGTGAAACCCCTATGTGCATTCTGTTTATTTCAACCATGCCGTATCATGATTACACACGATGTCATACCACAACTACGACAGATTTTCGACCCAAGACGCCACCGCCGTAACAGCAGCCATATGCTCACTTCTTATGGCGAGGTCAGCATCAGCACCGCACAAATGCGTCGAGTAAACAACGGTGTAAGGCTTCCTCCACTCTTCGACAAATTCATGTAATAAGCCATGGAATGACAAATCTTTGAGGTCGACCACAACACACTCCACCCTGGTACTGTGACCAAGAGACTCGATCGCTCCGCAGGCGCCCCTTGAGGGCAACTTGTCCGACCAGCTCGTCACCAAGACAAAAGTAACTGAGGGATTTGACGAGCGTGAGAACAGGAGTGTTGGTGGAGGCTCACTTCTCGTATCTGGGGATATATCATTCGAGTCAGCCAACATCTCAGCTATAGCGTAGGTGACACCAGCACCCTTACATTGATACTCAACCAGGACCTGCACATAGAGCTACAGTAACTAGGTACAGAGTTCAGTACAAAATCGGCAACTCCTTTGCGAGAAGCGTCCGCGACCATGTTAGTAACCCTTGTGGCCACCGCTTGACAGCTTGTTGCCGACAACGCGGTGGTGTCGACCTTATGGGAATCAAGTTGGCATCTGATAACAGCGGTATGCTGTCGACCCTGGAGGGGACAGGGAGCTGCTGCTGCCCTTATCTCACCTAGGAATATCATTGTATTCTCGGCTCAGCCGCACAATTCTTTCGCGCCACTCAGGGTCCGCAGTGTCGCCTGCAGACACATGCCGTCAAGACTGCTACGACTGGGTCGAGCTCAGTGCCCTTGAGAAAGGGCAAGTACACCAAGCGCTGTTAACACATTCGAATGAGAACTCAGATATTCCTCGACAGAGTAGTTGGTATTGAGCACTGAACTCCAGAGATCGGGTGGCTCAGCGAGCGAACTCATCACGGGGCAGGAGACAACCTACACTTTCCTCCGAAGTCCGCAACGCACAGCATAGGACCACAGTTGCAATCGCGGGAAAAGTACTTCTTTTGATCACACTCTTCGGCAAAATCCTGATTCTGCTGAATAACAAAAAGTCGGTACACTTCATGGGAAGATCATTTACATGATTCAAATCTATGCCGTCACGTAGATGACCTCCGCATTGTTGTTGTTGCTGTTCCTTACCTGACAGCCATAGCGCAGCATTACTATTGCTGCGTAACGACCAAGGTGAACGGGTAACTCACTGGAGCATGGCTCAACGTGATGAAGTTGACAGTACTGAGAGCCTGCTATCGCGATGAGCTCACAACCCCTCTTGCCGGGGTAAGAACACCTACGAAGGGAAGCCAGTTCACGGTACTGGATTCCCCTTCTTGGCGGAGTTGAATCCCCCTACCTCTTTAGGGACTGAGTGGCCCGGCAAGAAACAACACCACCATCGATGTCTTCTCCAACGCTAGTCTCTGACGTCCCGAAAGAAAGACTACTGGATTCTGGTACACAGCAGTGCGCCTTGTCGCCCTGAAATAACACGTTCTGTTCGGGTATTGCCCATAGTGTGGACCCTCACCACCATCACACAGGAATCTTTGGTCGTCTTCTTGGCATCCTCCAGCTCTACACGATTAGTTGGAGTATCAGCAGTAGACTGGTTGAGTTCGAGGGGTGGCGAGCGAGGAACTGTCCAACCGCATGATGACTTGGTATTTGATACCACTGCTGAACCCTTACTCGTGGTGAAAAGACGGAAGACTATCGCTACACTCCTAAACACGCGTACGACCATAGACCAGAACACTGTAAGCAGCGAATAGAGTCGCGGGTACCGTACCAGAATCTGCAAAGAAAAAGAAACTCGCATTCTATACAAAGTGATTCGGCAATCTACGCTCACCTCATGTAACCGTTTCTGAAGGGTGGTGACCAGATCGATCAAGCCGGCAAGGACCTTGTTCAGCGACACGCGTAGATCTCCCTGGTCGCCTGTGTCGCGGAACAACAAAGGGAGTTGGATGGGCAGCATGGCTCCTCGGTAAGTCAACTTGAAAACGACAGAATGATGAACAAGGCGTCACCATCGGTCGGAAAGTTCCAACGAAGAAGGGAGGGCAACGGGAATCGAAGCGCACGAAATCAGCGTGAATCTGCGGGAAGAGACTAGCGCTGCTAATTGCACGGCTAGGAGACAGTAGTGTCTTTCACGAATGCAAATTTGCACTTAGTTGTGGATGCTACAGGTTATACAGTGCTACCGTAATAGTAGCAAAAATGCTTCTTCAATGGGCAAGTGTGACTATCTAGCTGGAATGAAACTGCGTCCATCTCCATTCCGATGGCGATAAGGCGAGTCGGAATTTTCCAGTAAGGTGACTGCGCATCTTGTGCGGTTCACGGAGCATGTGCATACGTTCAACCGACGTGTCATAACACGCCTCGAGCCAAGCATCTCACGGCCAGCTGCGAAGGATTGAAGGTATAGCCTGCTCATTGACGGGAACTATCTCAGCGGTCTTCAGCTTATCACACATTGGTCCCGAGGCAGTGAGCTCTCTATCAAGAGAAATGGCAGAGTGCATGTACTGCCCATATACAGCGCGGAAGGACTCAGACGGTAACATCCATGTCGGATGTTGCGACCGCTTGGCACCTAGGAAGCGTTCAGTGGTTTGAAACTCCTTGGATAACCCTGAATGATGGACTCTGATACAGATAACTTCTTGAAGGAAATCCCTTCCCACTATGGACTATATCATAGCCTATCTCAGGAAGGAAAGCAGGAATTGTTCTATCATACTGGAAAACGAACGACCAGCTGCAACCTTGGGTGCACACCATTCCTCAGACAGTAGCACGAAGAATGTCTCAACGCACTGCTACTTATTCTTATAGGGGAGAAGGAGAAGCACTGCTCATCTCCACCGAATAGGAAAGAGAAATCATCATCACACGCAGTCCATGACGAACCCTTGACGTCTTGTACCTCAATCTGCGGCGCCCACTCAGGGATACAGTCAACTCGTCAATTCATAACGCCAACATTCATATTATAAAGAAAAGTGTCCGAGTTAAGGGTGAATAGTTACGTTGGTATCGCTAGGTATAATCTTCCTATTTCACAGCTTTCCGCCAAGGCGGCAAGTCGCTTTCTCCCTGGCTCTCCATCGATTGCTTTTTTTCCTTCTCTAGATTCGCCTTGTGCATCTTCGACAGTTTCTCGTGTCGTAAGAGAAGTTCAACCGAGTTGAATCTCCGTTGACAAAGCATGCAGATCTGAGATTATACGATGCTCCTCATTGGCAGATTACATACGTCAATAAGGAATCTACATGAACCACTCGAACGATGGTATAAAGGCACGAACAGAAGGCGTCAACCCGAAAAGTGATCCTAGAGTAGACTTACAGCTCCCTCCTTGCCATCTCCTCCCGAGCTCACCAGCCGCTTCCTCGTCTCACCAAGTGGTTGCTTGCTCAGAATCACCGGCTCGCTGGCCAGCGGCGCGGGGGCAGTCTCCAGGGCAACAGACTGTGGTTGCAAACGAGTCTTCTGCTCCTGTGGGGGCAGCCGAGGCAACGACATCGTCCCAAACTGGTTCGGGTTGAAGTAAATCGATGCTAGTTTGGAGCTTCCCAGAGAACTCCGCTCGGCCTCTGTCGTCCGCTGACCCTTCTTCCCTCCCACAACCTAATCAACACAATGCCCTCATCATCAACCATATCCCACTCACTGGAAGACCCGCCTCATTGCCACGCTGCAGCTTACCATCATCACTCATGGACTGTACCTAGGGCACGTGAAATACCAAAATTGAGCCTCCCAAGATGCGACAGATACCTTTGATGGCTTCGACCGACTCTCACGTCCATCAAGCCCGGCACTGCCTTCAGACGGGTCGTCACCGATCTCAGCCGATCGGCGGGCCGATGGCGCTGCTTGTGATGGCAACCCTGATGCCACTCGACTGATCTGTTGAACAGCAATGACTCGAGAGGTAGTTCCAGCAATGACTATCACCTCCTTTCGAATCCTAGCCTCCTGCTCCTCCGAAAGCTCTGCTTCGCCAGGCAGCGCCCTAACCGGTGAGTCCTTAGCATAACCAACGAGTACACCCAAAGGCTCGTAGTAGGTATAGTACACACCATCACGATGATACCTACTCCGCGAAGACCCGCTAACAAGCCAACAACAGCAGCGGCACGTCTGCTCACCAGAAACCCGTTCTTGGGTTGTACGCCCAGTTCCTGTCCTCATCATAGTAGTGCTCCGCTACCTCGTCATACACCATGCACTTACAGTAGGGTAGAGCATGACCTACACAAAGGCATGGACCGGCAGATCTAGTGAACAGAGTCTACTCACCTTCCTTAGGCTTGGGTACTCTCATCTGTCGCTCCGATGAGCCTCGATCCTCTAGGTATGAATGCCACATATCCGAGTTGATTCCCTGTCACGGAGAACAGGTGCGTCACCAGCCGGCCCAGTGAGCCTACTTACCTCCATGGCGAGACTCCGAGTCTTCCGTCGGGTTTCCTCGTAGTCGTATTCTTCGACCGCTGCCCGCAGTACATTGTCTCGTTGGGATCTGCCAAAGCGTCTCAAGACTTTTCAACCGACCGTTCCTCACCGCTCTATCTGGCAGGCGAGCTCTCGAGCCCGTGGAGGGTTCTTGGCTGCAGGTACAAGCATGGCCGACACCTGAGCTCACACAAAGGTCACCACGAAAAGCTGCCGATGTCCCTGCCTGTGCATCGTCGTTTTCCCGCATCTTGGAACCGTTCGTTTGGAAGATCTTAAGGGCACTAGCACACTCCCTCTCGTCATGGAAGTACACAAAGGAGACTCCTTTGGCTGGGAAATGATCAACATTTATCTGCCGATACAACGTATAGGTTGCTGACCAGAACAGACGCTTCCTTACCGGTCGCTCTCCAAGTTGGCAGAATCGAGATCTCACAGCAGCCTCGTCAGTGCCTAAACGACAATAGGCGTTCCTCGGGGACTGTCATAGCCTCGACCATATGGCAGCATTCAGCTTGTTGGCCACAAGGTAGAAGGCCAATAGCGACCTGGCGGCACGTTCTTCAATATTATGTAGTGCTGCTGCTGATGATGATGATGGTAGTCCTCGTCACGGTATCTGCCTTCTCGCTCCCGGCGCCGCCTCGATCGAGGGATGGCCATAGGGGAGTCATCGGCGTCGTGCCTGGCAGGATGAAGCCCTACGAAATTCGCCATTAGTAATTCTGCATACCTATGCATGACTCTATCATCAGCGTCACCTCGCGGCTTAGGACGTAGGACGACGTGCTGCCTCGGGGAGGATCTTCCGCCTCGACTACTCCTTCTAAAAACAGCGAGGTTGTAGTTCTCCTCAAACGCAGGCACAGTTGCAGAGCAGATGGGAGTCAATCGCACTAGGCACAACGAAAGATATTTTCAATGTCCTCCGAATGCCAATCTACAGTAAAATTTTTAACGGGTTATCTCTGAGATGTCGAATGAGGATCTTGAGCTTCCATTCCGTGAAAAACTCTTTTGATTCAACTAAAATCAAATTCCACATTTCTAATCCGTTCCTCCACTTGCTGGATTTGAGATTGAAAATGTGCACAACCTCTATGCGAATTTTGAGTTCTGGAAGAGTTCACCAGCATCAGAAAACGAACTACACAGCTGCCTCGCGAAAAACTCTCTTGCCCGTCCCTTACTCGTCTTCCCTCACAGCTGGCCGTAGTAGTGTGCGAGAAGCCTCATCGTCGACTCTAGAGCCACAGTTGAACTAAACCCTAAGACCAGCCAGCCCCTACCGCGCGTCTCCCCTTTCTGCCACTGCATCCGGCCTTCTGGTCAACTTAGCCGTCGGACGCTCCCTCGATCGCGATCGGGACCTACTCCGCATCATCCAGAGCGATCGATAACCCACTTCACTACCTCTTGCAAAGATCCTCATCCCGAGCATCATACCAACTGCGCGGCTGCTGCCGATGCCCCTCAGAGTTCCGTCGGCTACTACTGCTACAATCACTTCTACTGCGCCTGATATCAGCCTGTCATCATGTCGCTACACAAGGGCACACTACCGGTCGTAAAAACTAAATGCCGCTGGTGGTTCAGCTTCTCGACGCCCTCCACGACGACTGCTTCGTTGCGAATCCTCCCCTCGGGAAGACATGGAAATCAATCCCTCAACATTACCCTCTTATCGCAGTACTCAAACGAAATGCAATGAAGGTGCTTGCTAATGGACAGTTGCGAAGAGAGTGATAGCAGGGAGAGTCAAAATAGAACACGACGATGACTACGATTCAGCATCGTCGATATGCATCACTCGTCGATCCATGTTGTGATATCGTACTGCGTGCAAGGGTTCTCGATATCTCTCTTTGATTGGATAAGTCGGAGTTCGGGAGGATTCCCAGGAACTCCAGAACTAACACGAGAAGCAACAACATCCATGCAAAATCTGTCAAAGGGTTTCCTGACTTCAATCGAGCGCATGTGACAATACAATACGCCTACTGATGGATGAATACAAAAAGTAACTGCATTTCACTGAAAACCATAGTGGTTTACTAAACCAGGTTTAGTGGTTCATGATGGTTCATCGTGGTTTTAGTCTAAAACCATCCCTCCTAAGAGTCTCAAAAGCGCGAGCGTTGCTCGCCCTCGTTTGTCACCACATAACGACGCTTACTGAGCCTCATGATAATCTCTCGTCCGATTGATCACACTTTGCAATACACTTCCAGTCTTAGTCATAGCTTCCTTCACTCCAAACTGTGTATAGAACCTACCAGGCGACCGAGCTCACTTTAAACGCACAGCGTAACTGAAGCCTTACGCCATAAGAAGGGCAGTGGTGAGGTCTCCCGTGCCAGTGTAGTTGCCCTCAATCGAAGGTAACTCCATGCGGTACCGTGTACGCCTACCACTCTCCTTGTCAACCTCAGAGGCGAGCATTATAACCTTGGTCGCTGACTGGAAACAACACGACTAACCCTCGCAAGCGGTACTCATGGGCGCCTCGTTCTCAGAGATGGACAATGTCTTGTCACCTCTACGACACGAACACCCGAGCAAGTCTTCATTCACATGCATCGCCTCTAGAGAGCAGACGTCATAGTTCCACAGAGGCACTACCGCGCTAATATTTTCCCCTACATAAGAGGTAGACGCGAACCAAGCTCGTATTTTTTTGCCGACTACGGTAGTTCAGAAGCTGTTAAATAACTCCTACTACTTATAGTGATCACGAGCGCTGATATGCCGTGTTGGAATATATGTTCGCTCTCCTCAGCTGATCCATTCCAAGAGTATCCTCACTAACTACAGTATTAGCATACAAATGTACAGAAACTAATGAAAATTTTCCAAAATTCCCTCAGAATCATCATGTTGTCACAGCAAGTGGATATTTTCCGACACTGGTGAATTACCATGTCCATGACAATACTCGCAAGATGGAAACTCTACCTCTCGAGCCCCCCATTAAACTAACCTGCTCTGGTAGATTGGTACTAGTAACAGAAATGAGGCCTGGTCCCATTCGATGCAGCTCGTCAACAGCCATAAAGAGCTCCGAATCATCTGCCAGCACTATCCCTCCCAACCAGCCTCGACACCCTTTCACCTTTGATAGCTGATCTTCCAGTGAGCTTCTCCACCTCGAACTGATTTGGCGTTATCACTGATGCCAACGGGAGTATCCGAGCGCGATACTCCGGAATGAGGTTCTCCGGCACATACCTGAGATGAACAAGTCCAAACTGAAGAAGAGCTCAGAAGCTTCTGTAAAAAGTCAACAACGAGCAAAGCGTATTCTTTCTACTCACATTCCTTGATCGTAATCTCCCAAAACAGGATCGCAAACGTAGAGCAGATGATCGCACTGTGCACGCACTCTATGAACAACGCTTCAACTTCAGCAAGGAAGGACGCGGAACCAATGTAACTAAAATGACCATGACCACCACGAAGTCAACAAAGGATGACAAACACCGCAAATAACGACTCGCGAGATCTACCGGCATGCCCATCATCATGCTGTAGAACACACATGATGATGATGCTAAATGCCTAGTACTACCCGGTGACCATGTGCGTATAACTAGATAGCAAAGAGTTCTCATCAAGGCCATCGACGAGGCACTTGAGGTCTGTACCGTCTAAGACTTGCCCTTTGAATGTCCGATATCCAGTGTGGTTAGACAACTGAAAAACACATATATGAAAAATTATAGGGAAAAATGAGGACCTACCTGAACAGAGTTCACAAAATCTACCTCAAAGCCCAGTAGCTGCAATGGGAAAACACAGGCTCGATTGCCAACGTAACCGTGTACGACGTGTGACTGGATAGCCAACACATGCCCAGGGTCTTCAGTAGATGAGGCTTTCATACGGAGGAGTTTTCAGAAAACTACACACATTCCTTAGACTGTCCCTTTAACCCAACTCGCGAACACATAGTAAGCATTCACTATACAAATAGCCACGATGGAGACGTATAGCAGCATATACTGCAAAACTTCCAAATAGACTCTAATATAGTACCTGTTGTGAGGTGCTACCAGTCAACAACTAACTGTAGAGATTATAAAAAGCTAACCCAGTCGAGGCACAGCAGAGCTACACGCCTAAACTACTACTGAGAGCTCGAGGGCACCTCCTCCTCCATAACGGAGTTGAATCAGGAAGCTCGAATTCAGGCCATCCACAGTAGTTTAGTTTGTGATCACTCCGTACCAACTCAGATCTTCGAATTAAGCATGGCCATCGCCGAGCTTTGCATCCATACAACTCCAACCAGCGACACTAAGAACTCCGGGAAATTCTATCCAAGCAAGAGAGTGGTTAATTTTTCGGCAACCTCCTGAGGAACGAATCATCCTATCCAACTCGAATCTTTAAAGTGTCTACTCGGGGTTATGTCGTCCTACACCATACCTCCTAGACTCGGAAGGCGTCTTATTCCCGATAGCATTCGTATGACCATCACTTCGATCCGATCGCCTTCTGCCCATAAAGATCAACTCTTGCCTTTATTGCTATTAACAGTGAACCAGAAGATTATATTGAACATAGCCTTCTCCTCGTACTCCTAGGAAGGACCAAGGCTTCCTTCAACTCACCGGTTCACACTTGTCACTCGAGTTCGCTCTCCATAGGGCAACGTGAGTGCACATAGATGATGACTACTATCATCAGGTCACCAGCTCAGCACTATGATGGCGAGATAGCAGTAGACACCTACGGGGAGATAGAATACTCGCCCGGGAAGTTTCATCCAAGTTAGTAGCAGCAAAAAGGATTTTCGATATAAGCTTCCATGGCAGCCTCGAGTATCTTCATACTTTTGTGTGTCCCCTGGGCCTTGAACCTTCTTAATGATTCACGTAGTATTTCAAAGCTCAACAATAGCACTACCCTCCCATTTTTGCTGAAAATTTTTGACCTACAATAGGGAGAACTGGATGATAGGGAAAGGCCACTGGGAAAGTAATACCGCTACCATGTCGTAACGTCAACAGCATGACCACCATTTCAACCATTGTGAGGTAGAACTTAAGAAACCGAATATCGGCGATAACGGTCCCACAGTGACGGGAGGAAAAACGGTAATCACACCTGGCGACCGATGGAGCTAGCACGCATGCACAGAGGATAATTCGAGGCTACCTTAAAGGTGATATAGGCAAGGTTCAAAGGCCCCATGCTTGCGATGAGTAGCAGAACTATGAGGGACAGGTTTGTACAGGTCGCCGAGACAGTAACGAAGTCACTCGCGGGGTAGGAATGAGCTGAGTTCTCATGTTAACCAGCAGTGAACGATGATGTCATGCTGGTGGGCATCTGATCCCACATTGTGGAAAGGAAGCACAACTGAAGAGTAAGGAGATAAATGGAAGCGCACTGGCACAATTTAACCAAATCTGTAAAAGCCTAAGAACCCAAACGTAGGTTCGATCCTCGCACATGTCATTTTTCTCTTTCGAAACTCATCAACTTAGCAGTGATCGAGCCTTGCTTGCATTCTGAGCTACCCACTCAATATTCTTATACCCTCTCTCTACTGAGTCGTTGTTAGTGTTGATGGTCGCGATATGTGGATGCAAAGAGTGTAGTTGTTTCTTATTCATCATTCATGCTGGAGTTGTCTCGGCGCGCCTTAGCACCAGCATTGGTACGCCCATTGCATCAGCTGATCATCGCGAGAGGTAGCGGCCTTTCGCCGAAGCACATGATCATTATAGTGAGCTTTCAGGCTGTGCCCCAGTGATGATGCGGAGCCTCTCTTACCGTCCTACTATACACCCCAGAGTTGCCTTTATCACAACTCAATCATCGTCGACTCAGAATGGTGATAGCAACAGCACGAACTTCACTAAAGGTAAAAACTCTCGGGAAATATCTCCCTACCATCTTTAACACGATCAGACCAAAAAGTGATGGAGGAGAATGATCGGGTAGCATCAGCGTCCACCTCAGAGTCGTCATCAGCCACCCCAAATGCCGCCTCTACAGAGACGGCCAGCAGCGGGGGTGGTGATGCTAGTGCCTCTGCAACACCGCTACCACCACCTGGAGGGAAGCCAAGTGGGCCTCGTAATGCCAGGAAGAGCAACAGCAAGGCTTCGTTATGGAAGGTGAGAACATAAACGATGATAGCTTTATGTTGTTTATGTGTAGATCCTTGGTATTTCGGTGGCTGGTCTGGCGGGACTAAGCGGGTAAGGAGGTGGAGTAATGTTGCTGTGGGTAGCGGTGAACCTAAGATACTACATATCATCATCGTATAACCCAACATCGTCATCAGCGACAGAAGGAAAAGCATCGGCATCATCTCTGTTGAAGTCTCTCGGTCAGAGGGTACTAGTAGATGTAGTGCTGTTGCAATGACAATAGTGATGATGACAGGCACTTGATGCATTTGAAAATTTTAATGAAGTTACGAGGGAGTGGTTTCAGATAATAGGAGACAAACTAGTACCAATGAAAAAAGGTAATTCCTACTAGATTGATTAGTGATATCACTATTGCTGCTGATACTATCCTTGCTACCACTAATCAATCGAATCGTGCGTGTTAGGTCCATGGCTGTTGGACTTGGAGACAATGCACTATCCCGAGTATGTACCCACACTAGTGATAGACCTTGATAAGGTCATGTGTCACTTAGAATATGATGTAATAATTCATACCACTCCTCTCGCACATCGTCAGCTTCCTCCTTTCAGCGGAAGACAGGATGGCAAGTTGTGAAACGACCAGGCGCCGATAAGTTCTTTAAGGAATTGCAGCATTACTATGAACTGGTGTGTTACTCTGGTAGGATAGTTCAGAGAGGAGTGGTATGAGCATGACGTTATCTCAGACGATGTCATTCCTGTTGCTTCTGATGTTATGATGAAATGGGAAGTGCCTTGTACGGGTGTTTTACACAGGGATTTCTGCAGGAAGACCAGAAAAGGATATATGAAAGATATAAGTAGAGAGTTTCAGTATTTTACTACGATGCTGATGATGTATATAAAGGTCAACTTGGTCGTAAAGCAGACAAGATGATACAGCTAGATCACGAGGAAGTTGCATTAGGCAAGAACAAGGATAATGGGGTAATGGTAGTGGGCCTATCTCTATCTATATGTCTATGTGTATATTGGAGTTTCACCGGTTTCACGTAAACTGGCGTAAAATTCGGTGAAAAAGGCGATATTCACGGTATGCAGTAGTCGTGAAATGTGTTTTTCGCCAGTGTTTTTCATATCATGGGTGAAACTCCATTATCAGTGCAACGAGTATCCTACAGCTTCGGCACCAATTTTCAACACTTATGAATTTTCGCTAACTTTGAGCTAGCCTATGAAATCAATTTCAAATATATGGATGCCAGTTAGGGAATAATAGTACGAGAGTAGGGTATATCTTATGGGAATTAGTATATTATGATTCACAATAATTTATAATAAATTACAATACCATAAATTGAAAGTATTTATAGAATTGATATTGTTGACGTGTTGTAAGGTACTCATCAAGCCCTACGATGGCGATCCGGATGATAGGGAGTTGTATGACCTCATCGACTTCCTCAAGGCCGCGGCTGTTAGTCAGGAGGTAGTTATAGTGAGTGGTATTGTTCCGTCGAGATGGTTTCTGCTGTCAGGATTTGAGGGACTTCATCAAGAAATATGGTGGTGGATTGGATGGGAATATTGGCAGACGATTTCTGATAGAAAAGAAGGAAAAAGAGAATGCCGTGCAGCATAGACGATCCATCGGAAGGTAGTAGCAATGGTGATAGTGACGGTGTGATTATCCCCCTCCTTGACAGAGCGTTCGTTTCGGGTTCTGGTGGCTTCCCGTCATCTCCTCCCAGTTTCAACAGTTTCGGCTCATCTCCGAGGTAATGTACTCTGGCTGGTGTTTTGGGTCTGTCATTGTTGATAGTAGGTTCTGATGCACTGCATCGGAATGGTGCTGGTGGTCCAAATACTCCCTAGCTGGTACTGAATGCGAGACTTTATCTGACTGTCTTTACTATGACGAGGACCGCCTATACCAGCGATCGAACACTTCCTGATTGTCCCGATGTTGTTTTCGTTCCATTGGTCGTAGTAATGTAGCGTTATCTTGAGGGTTTACACAAGAGAAAGTTGATATTTTTACCTATATATGCTATACCATCCCTCACTCAACACCATTTTACCTGCAGTACGTCCCACCATGGCGTGCACGATAGGGCGTGTGTTGGCCTCGCAGCATTACTCGACCTTGGTGCCTAGGGGCGCGTTGAGACCCTTGAAGAGTCGTGGCCTTATCAAGGTTTCCGGCAAAGGGACATTGAACTTTTTACAGGGATTATGTAATAAACAATTTTTCGCGGGCGAACTATCGTGAGTGTGATAATTGCAGAAATTGGAGATGATAGTTGAGCGGATGCTTCCGAGGCTTGAGAGAATTCAACTGTAGGTACTCAGGATATTAGTCGTGTGTTTGGTGCTAAAGCCGAGGCTCCAATGGAACAGTCAGCAGCAGCTGCAGTATTCCTATCCCCCAAAGGCAGAGTACTTTTCGACTGTTTAATGTAGTACTCATCAGACTTTGCCCTCCACTGGAGTAGATAGGGAATAGGTGCTCAGCCCCACAGGATAGGCCTCATCCAATTCTTCATCGGCACCCACGGTGGAGCCGATGAAGAACGGCTATCGGGTTGAGTACATATCGCTCATCTACTTCATTACTGACGTATTGCGATCTCCCATGTGCATGTGGAATTAGGTACAGTGGGGTTTCATTGAAGCCTGATAGCTCAGAAGGGATTGTTAGTGATGATAAAGGGGAGGAGAGCCTCGTGGTCGACGTTGATGAGGGTGTGCTGGACAATGTTATGCGACTCTTCATACGCCATAGGGTGCATCTGCCGTTGAACATAGAGAAGCTTGATAATCTAGGGGTGTACTGGACGCCATCGAAGAGCCAAAATGGTTGTGATGGTGACACGGAAGTCCCCGTATATGAGGACCCTAGGGTGAAGGATCTGGGCTTGAGAGCTATATTGCCCAAGTCCGATATTGGTGATATTAGAAGGTGGGAGTCCGCGGCATTGATTTGATGCTATCAGATGCTGAATCGACAGAAGCTTTGTACAGACGGTTACGTATTGGGTTAGTTGTACCGGAGGGCCCCAAGGAGATGACTCCTGACAAGGTATTGCCGTTGAACTACAACCTGGATCTTACTAATCATATTGCGTTCAACAAGGGATGGTAATAGGAGCTGGAGAGGAGAGGAGATGATGCTTTCATACCAGTTACATTGGACAGGAGTTGACCACACGGGCCTCCAAGAAATTAGCTGTGAGGAAACGACTATTTGGTATGCGTATCGATGGAGATGTTGACGTTGAGTCCGGTGCAGAGGTAGGGAAGGTGCATGCAGTAGTTTTCAGTTTTGTTCCTCAGATAATGTGTGACGGTGAGAAGATTGGTAAAGTATTAGAGTTGTCATCATCGGAGGGTGATGGAGACGTGCTGGGTATTGCACAAATACATGCACCGAAAGGAATGCAGATGAATACTAAACAGGCTATGGTCGAAGCTACGAAAAAGTACTTGGAGGACGACCATATATACATAGAGAAGGACTCGACAAAGATAGGAGTAGAACTGAATCTACCCAAGTACATTCTGTCGTGAGTTTAAAGCGGTGACCATTTTCCCACTAACTGCAATTTTACCATTATGGTTTCTGTTCGTAATATGCGTGTCTATGGGTTCGGTGTTGTTGCGTTTTTGTTGTTGTCATCGGAGATGCCGTGTTACATTTGGTGATACAACACAATTCACAGTGTTCACATTAACAGTTGAGAAGATCTCGTGAAGATACTCAATTGCAACGACGCGAATGCGGGGAAAAGCAGTAACATTGGACTCTTTGAAGACTCCAAGGACACATCCATACGAAGCGAATCTACGAAGATCAACAGTCCCAACCGCCAAGCTATCAGAGCATGACCGGGAGTGCTTCTGCGTGGTGGTCTAAGTATATGGAGGCCTACGTATGAAAATCACCATTGTATGATCTGAGTCGCTATTCAGTCGAAATTCGACTTTGTTGAGTGAAGAGATATAACATGAATAAATGACTGGCGCCACTCAGTCGCTGAAATATCGCTAACTCAATCTCTGTGACTAGAAACAATCATGCAGTGGGGATATCATGCGAACACTGGGCTGTTCGTCCCGAACGTGAATCCTCGGCCCTTTTCCTGTTCTTGATCGTGGCTTGTTGATACCGGGAACTTCTCTGCATGGCCTTCATAACATCGAAATGTTATGTATCATAACAATCTAAAATGCGATCTCACTTTGCTTCGGAATCTCTCGAATGACGTCCTCTCATCCACTTCGGCATCTGCCCAGAAGGGCATAACAGGGAGGGGAATCCACGATGTATCAGGAATCAGGTCTACTCACTTTTGAGCTCATCCGACCTTCCCTTTCGTTCCATACGGATCCTCGCGGTTGCAGCTGCCTGGGTAGCAACGTCCCAACGTGGTTCGGCATCATCAATCGTCCCTAAAGTGCAGAGATAGGACGGATGACATGTTAAAGCCACACCGGACTCTTCGGGTCCGACGACCACAGTCCTTCCATCAGACCACTCCTTGACCCCATTGAACATGTTCCTGGCCAGTTTCGATGATGCTGTACGATCCCGTTCACGCAGGGACTAGGAAAAAGATAGATAGCACCACCAGGCAGATGCAATACGAAACTCCGACGCTTGAGCTCTGCAGCCCAGAGTATATTGCTGTTATCGAGTGACACTCCGGGAAAGCGCTCACGAATTTGTCCTGTCTAACGGCTCTGACTATGACAGGGATATGAAGTTTGACGCCACAGATTCAGCTCGGGTCATCCTCTATAGGTATTAAACCGCGTTATCTTACTGCTGCCTCCTGGAGCAACCTCTCAGCCAATACGCTTTTACTGTCCACTTCGAGCATTCCTTTGGCATCGCATTCTAATTCATCCCATTCTTGAAGCTCTTTATGACAAAGGGCCATCCGATATCTGATATCGTGCATGATAGGCGATGCAGTGCGGCGATAGGAACAGTCGGATCCCAATACTCACAGAGTTTTCAGCATGATCTCAGGCTCGTCCTCGCCACTTAGCAGGATGCATTTGAGTGCTCGCAGAGCTTCCCGAGGCTCATGGCACTTCAAATGTGCCATGCCGAGGTTGAGATATAATGAACGCTCGAGCTCCCAGTCAAGTGAGGCCATTGCTTCAGCAGCCTCATCATCCTACGCATTCGAGTGAGAGTCAACACTTCTGAAGATTCCTACACCATCAGCGATATCGCTGAGCATCTCGACGGCTTCCCGCCAATAGCGGGCTGCTGCTTGGTAGTTGCCGTCCTTGTACTCGGCAAGTCCCTTTTCCTTCAGGGATTTAATATCTTCCATGATGGATGAGAATCAGCGAAGTAATTCCAAACCTTGAGCGCAACTGTTATGTATTCATCTCAATGTTGAGACTCCTAAGGTATCCGATCAGCCGCCATCGTTATTGAAAACTATTACAAACATGACGTTGTGGAAGCTATATAATGACTATCATGACAGTACAACATTTGACCTCGTCGAAGACATCATGGATCGGTCTTCATATCGCCGCTGTAAACACCCCTCAAGGTGTATTAACATCCCTGTCGCACGAGAAAGCCCTTCTGGTTCCCAAACGTGGACAGCTGCGTTAGGTCCAATCATAGGACCTGGTGCAGCTCTTCCATAGGATTCCTATGGAGGCAGTCCCGAAGACTGCCATCAGATGTATAGGGGATCTAAGCCAGAACTTGGGTCTTCGTGCGGAAGTAGCACGCATACGCACGAAGGCGTAATGAAGCTATGGGAAGTTCACAGTGTCTGGGATCTTATCGGTTAGGGATCAGTTATGGTATGGATTAGGCTGGTTGAACTGACATGTATAGGGCAGGGGAATGTATACGGTGAATCCTTGTCCTTGAGCGCCCATGGTCGAACCGTTTCGCCTTCAACGGGCAAACGAGATGCACGTGTAGTATATTGACTCCGTTCACGCACGATTATGCAGCATGAGGGAAGACTTGAGATTATCATCGTATCTGATGGGGCTGGATAACCGCTGCTCACATGACGACACTTGCTTCCCGCCATCATGGTGATCCGATATCAATCATAACGCCTCTTTTTCTGCTATCTTTCGAAAGCCTTTCCGTAAAGCTAACTATGAACTACGATCTCTCGGGGGTCGCCTCCTCTAGAGAGAGCACACTCCTCAACAGTAATGGTCGTACCATACAATCACCCAGCCTAGAAGCGAAGACCGCAAGTACCGGGATGTTATATACAGCGTAACGGCAGCTACTCTAGTATCTACTATCACCATCTAGTAGATACAGCAGCCGTGGGTCTCCTTTTCACAACGACAGTCCATTAGGCATCGACAAGTTCCTATCGCTCGTAGCGTCGGATGACGTCCAAGCGGTGAAGTCGAGGTAACCCAAAGCGTACCGTAAGGGGGAATAATCTCGGCGTAGGCTGGAGTCGAACTATACTGTGGCAAGAGGACTGATACAAGCCAGAAACTCTAGAGGGAGCACAGCTCTGCATATCGCCTGTAGAGAGGTGGTGTCATCGCACTCACCCCTGGGGCATCACTCATCGTAGGGGTTCCTGTCGATGGTCACTACACTAGCATCCTGTGGTGCAGAAATCGAGGCTAGAGATAGAATAGGTAACGATTCCGTCGAAACGCTGTGTGACGTTACTCTCAAAAAGCACCACTAGGTGCCTGATTCGAGAGGGTTGAAGATACACTCAGTCTTCAGGCCGAACTCCTCTCCTTATATCTTCTGAGTATGGGCATTTGGAAATCGTGAAGCTGCTACAGTCCAGATTCGGAGCAAATGTTGATGCTCGTGACACTCTCGAGCGCACGGCATTTCATCTGTCATGTTGTTGCCGAGATCCAGATGTATCTAGATTCATAATACAGGTAAGAGCTTAGTGAAGGTACCGCTGTTGTTTTTTACAAGCTAGTTACGTCCAGAGCTGAGGGAAGCTGTGGACAGACATGGCCGTACAGGCCTCTTCTATGCTGTTCTCAACAGTGATAGAATGGTCGCTGAGAAAGTCTCAGAGATGATCCTGCGAAGTCGACAATCTGACGGCTTGACTGCACACTGCGTGTAGTGGTTTGATGCTACGTGTCGCGAATGGACTATGTGGATCTGTCAGGGACTCATATCAGAGGTCACCCTTAGACTATGCATCGCAAGAATCACGCGAGGGCCTGGTTGTTCTCCTCCAACACTATGGAGCTGTGAATTCTCAGCGGAAGGCTCCGGAGTAGAAGGGCTTCAACTTCTAGGGTTCGGCTGAAATGGTCGGTTGCCTTTCAGAAGTCGAGTCGGCGACTCAATTCCACGTGTTCCAAAAATCTGCAGAGGTCACCCTACCTTATCCCTGTAGCCATCAGTCTATTACCTGTTGCAGATGTGAATGGCAATGACAGTCGTGCTGGTCTGCAGCGCGCTGAGTGCGGCGCTCCTGGCCAGCTCACATTTGGAGGTCAGACTCTCCCTCATCATCATGCGGGTTTCGCTTCCCATCGATCAACTATCAGGACACTGTTTGGAGAGTTGATCATCTCTTGATTTAGATTCGAAGTTCCATGATTACAGGGCACGCTTGATGACGTTGCTGCAGACGATACAGCAGAATGGCTTGGAGCATATGTACCACGTGAAACGACCTGATCTCTTCAGCGGCAGCTGGATGGAGGGAGTAGCGATGGGAATGTCCGTGTCACCGGACGTGTCCCCCTCCTCGTCGTATCAGATTTCCGGAACTGACGATCTGTTCGCTGAAGAGGGGGAACTGCTGAGGACCAGCTGCAATGTCAGCGAAGCTCTCATACGCGTTTGCAACCTGTTGTCGCCGCCAGCGAGCATGCCGGCTCCGAACTCTGCTGTAACGTCAGAGGACCTTCTTGAGAGGTAGGTAACGGTCTTGTCGGGAGTCCCAGCGGGGACTGGGAATAGGTTCATACCCTCGCGAGGTATCTGGTCGTCAACTCCGATGACGTCTCGGGTGGCAAGGGAAGAGGGTCGGCGAATAGTGACAAATGTGGGCGCATCTATGTGAGTTCACATACTCGACACTTACTGAAAGGTGAGAAGGGCAATCGAGAGCGGGAGAGTATGCAGATAGTGGAGAAAGAGAGAGACGATAAGCTACTAGAGTTGATGCGGCAAATAAAGGCTGCAGACGTATGACGCCGATACTGTGGTGTTGGTCGCCATCGCTGAGCCGTAGGAGAAGCTTGGCACAGCAGTATCGGTTGCTGAATACACAGCACTACAGGAGGAAGCAGCTGAGCTGAGGGGTTTGAAGACGCAGCTGGAGATTCAGCTGATGGACCTGCGCGGCCAAGTGAGCATTGGCTCAGCTACGGCCGGGCTGTTGTGAGTATTCTGCGCTCATCCTTTTAGGCATCGTTTGCCGCTGAGAAGGCGCGGACTATGACGGATGAGCTCGAAAAGTAGTGTTGCCACTCTTGGGATTATCAGTGTCCTTTAGTGGTCTTCGATCGTGTGTTAGGAGATGTAGGGAAAATGGGGAGCTCGCTGTGCAGTTGGCTGCAGCACAAGCGATGATTGATAACATGGCTGTTGATGCTGCTAGGAAGCAGACTGTTCAGGAAGGGTGTCGAACTATGGCTTGGGACTCTGTGGAGGACACTGGCAGGTACGATAGACTCGAGCGTCAGTTAGTTGTGATGAAGGGCGAGAAAGGCAATCTGCTGAGACAAAATGAGGTTGGACGGAAATGTGTTTTCTCGAGTGTCTATTCATAGCAATAGGTTCTTGAGGCGGAAGTTAAGCGCATGGTAACGATCGCTGGAGATGAAAAAAGGGCGGAAGTCGATAGGGTCGAACAAGAGGTCTGGTCCCACGCACTGAGTTCATGATCAGTGCTCGTTGATGTTTGCTAACGATAAATCAGAACGGGAAATTACGGCAACGTCTTGGCGAGTTGGAAGAAAAACTCGAACGATTGGATAAGGACAAGTCTGAGGAGATGACCACGGAAGAGCCGAGTGAAGTGAGTGCATCCTATTCCGCATGTGTTGTAAGCTCGATCTGATCAGTCTGAGAGGAAGAAGGGAGAAGCTGAGCGAGAAATGAAGACGAAGGACAGGGCGGAGGTGAGCTCTAAGCGTGGTGCTCGGTGGCCGACTTGTTGTTTGATTAGAAGTGGCTGTCATATTTGGATGATCGAGATCCCTCTATCGCTGACAACGCTATTACCTCGAGAATAGCCGTGGAGGTGAGTAGTGGTGGCGATGAAGTATTGGAGAGGTATCCACCATAATTATGACCGTCTACTTGTGCTCACACAATTACATCCCTGTTGATTTCAGGTCCCTGCTGTAGCAGCACTACTGAATCTAGTCTAAGACTATGCTGAGGTTCGCTGAATAGCATGATGAAGAGACAACGGTGTCGTCATGGGCAACGCCTGTTTGTTTCTCCGATCCCCCATAAGAAAATGACACATGAAATGCATCGTATTCTGGAGTATTCGTATTCATGTTGCTAAGTTCTATCACTTCGGCTTGCGTTCATAGGATCAATTATAACCGCACTTCTTGAGATCATAGCGTATGAAGTAGTTCTCTCATTCGGGTCTGATACTGGTGGTGTGGTATCATAATCACGATTAGTGACACTCTGGGTTAGTTCATCGAAACCCAGGGAGTACTTCTCGAAGAAGTCACCGCGCTGAGAGGGTCAACAGACAATGCGCGCGGAAACACAAGTGTGCAATACTTGTGTTGCCACAAATCGCAATGTTCACAACTACTCGTTCACTTGAGTGAACCTGGACACGTCATAGGAGACTTTAGGAAACGTTGTCTTCTTTTCGCAGTTCGGCTTACCCTGGAATAGTCCTTTTGAAGACTTACCTACTATCAGAATGATAACCTCTTGTGAAGAGGGACAGTCTCCACACCTATCGGTTACTAGAAAGACTGTCTAAACGTTTTTGTTCCTGACTTTTCTCAGAAGAATCCCTCCCGACGTGCCCCGATAGCCTATTCTCGTTGGTGTTCACGCCTTTGGTCGCATCGACATGTCCGTGATTCCTTAGTGAGAGGAGATCATAGTATAACTCGCCATTGTTTTTCATCCGTTGAATCGCTCAGTGAGTGATTCAACCGATTATGCGTTTCGGTACAGCTACTGTCTTTTGAGTGGTCTAAATTTGAAGTAGTTTCTTGAATCTAGAAGGGGCTTGCTTCATAACAGGAAGGGGTCTAAATTGTCAGTAGTAGTCATTGGCTGTTCGAAAGCGGTGGTTCTTTGCCGTTGGTTGAATTGTTATTACAGTGGTTGAGTGGGAGCATCGCTGGTTCTCTTCGCATGACAACGGCGACCCGTTCGAAGGCTCCTAAGGCGACCACAGATGAGGCGCCAAGCAGGTGTGCTCATCACGTTGTTGATGACCATCTCTCCCGCTCTCTGTTACCGCCTTCCTAGGTCCAAAGATCGTATTATCCCACTTGAAGCCGTAGCAGCGGCTGTCCTACTCGCTGTGTTGGCATATTGTTGGGGTCTCGGTGATGGGAAGTGAGTCCTCGGTGGTACTCGTGGTCTGTGGAGAGGCTCACCGCAAGTCGAGACTTCTTTCAGAACCTTTTCCGACGGTGTTGACGAAGTTGTCCGTGTTACTTTCTGGTTCTTCCCCCGCGAAATGGTGGTCGGTATACACTGGGTGAGCTTGACTGTCAGCCACGACTTTCGATGCTTCTTGAAGGTTTTCTCGTTCATCGCCGCCCTCGGAGCGATCACCATTGGTGTATCGTCGGTACCGTCTCTAGCCAACAGAAGGGTGGTGAAGGCCGGAGTAGTCATGGCGACCATCGCGATCGTATATCAGCTCATTATCCGTACCGTGGCCTTTGGTGAGACAGGGGTCTTATACAAATCTATTTATAGCAATGTCCATGTCGCAGAAGCCTGGTGCTCCTGCAACGCGGGCGCCACCTTTGTACCAGCTTTTCCAGGTGCCTGGGACCCTCGTTCGATGACATGCATCGTATTTGCAATTATCGTGAGGATGTATTCGCCAGAAGCCAAGATGGATGATGGCCCGTCCTTATTCGGCGCCTGGGTGGCCACTGCTACCTCCTCTTATTCATCGTGATGTTTCCCATTCAGGTTGTTTCTCTTCGTGTTCCGCCTTTTGCCGCCCTTATCGCTCCCGTTACGATCAGCATCATCACCATGGAGCTCTTCGGAGCCCCGGTCATCAGCGCTGAGAGGGCGACCACAGCAGTGAGTCGGACAAGAGTTGCATGTGCACGCACGCGCAGTTCTTCACGACAGGTTTTGGCACTACTGTTACTACAGGCAGCAGCTAATCAGATTAATTCTGTTGCTGATTTCTTCAATGGTGTAGATGATATTCACACTGCTTCTGATCGAAGCTTGGTAGACGGCATACTAACTCCTAAGGCCATGGCATGGTCCGCTGTCGCCCTCACTGGCCTCTCCGGAGCCTTGCTCCTTGTGAACATCCCTGAGATCGAAAGCTCCTATCGGGGATACGCCACTCTTTCCTGGATAGCTCAAGCCTCCTTTGCAGTGAGTTTCGGGAGACTGCAGGGACCGTCGAATTCGTTTGTAGATTCTGTATACCTCCGGTCCGTTTCCTCTCAAGTACTATGCAATGGGAGATTTGGTCATGTATGTATGGGAAAACTTTTCTGGACGCATATTGGATTCGCTTCAGTCTCTTAGCATTCGGTCCTTCCGTGAGTGTTTTGATGGCTCTGTGGGCGAGCGACCCCACCAGATCGCTTCCGGTCCTCCTTGATGTATTCGCCTTCACGCTGCCCAGCATTCTTGTCACTATTGGTGTAAGAAACGGGCTTGGGTCTTAGCAGATTTGCATACCTAATGCTTCCATTGCATTAGGTTCTCAATGCGAACAACATCCGAGATTTGGATTCTGACGCCGCTGTGGGCATCTATACTGTCGCCAACATTCTCGGTCATAGATGGTGTCGCATGTGAGCTTGTTAAGCGTGGCAAACTCGAATTTCCTCAGCCCAGTTACTTCGGAGTCCTACAGTTGCTGCCACATATTATCTGCCTCTGGTTGGCCTCTGCTTACCATTGTTACGGTATCCTATTTTCTCTCGCTGTTATTCCGAGATCCCTATCTACTATGTGAGCACCTCGCATGCCTCGACTCGTGAACTGGTTCCTTGTGCTTACTCAGATCACGTATTTGCCTGAGCCCTCAGAGTGATCCTGAATACAAAATGGTGGTGAAATATGCATCTCATACAACTCTTATGTATGGCCTGGCCTCAGCTATGGGCATATCAACAGCTCCCATCGGAGTCGGCTTGGACCAGGTGAGATCGTTTAGTCTTCGGGTCGATTTTGAATTTTCAGGTCAGCTCGGGCGGGGTCCTCGCTACCTCAGCTGTGATCGGCTTATTGTATTGTGTCGGTTAGGAACTTAACTGTGTGGAGTTGCTCCTATGTCTGAATTCCGGTTTTTCTCACTGATGAGGTTGATGGTAGTT